AGAGAGAATGAGATAGAGAGCATGAGAGGGGGGAGGGTCAGAGAGAGAGGCAGACTCCCTGATGAGCAGGGAGCCCGACGTGGGACTCGATCCCGGGACTCCAGGATCATGACCTGAGCCGAAGGCAGTCGCTTAACCGACTGAGCCACCCAGGCGCCCCTGAAAGTCACTTTTTAATTTACCCCAACACTCATGTACTCAGAGCATTGTTGCTCAAAGTGTGTTCCATGGAACACTAGTTCTGAAAGTGCTGGATGGTCATATCAGTTTGGGAAATGGGAAGCTAAGCTTTTTGTTTATTTCACAGGACTCCTGAAAAATTATGCACATTACATTAAATGTGCGTTGTGAATTTTCAGGAGCGGCAAAAGGAAGAATTAGAGTAGGGAAGGATTCCCGAACTTACTTGACCACAGAACCCTTTCTTTTCCTTGGGAAACTGTTCCCCTGAGAACTCCTGACTCGTCCCCAGAGCACAGATCTTTAAATGCATAGTTGTCTTAATTCAGTGGTGCGTGCACATAGTTTATATTTCTGTATCCTTCCGGGACCTTCCTGGATGCTGGCCTCCTTACCGCCCCGCCTTCTCACATTTCTTCCTTTTCTAAGTATAATTTCATGGACTGCCTGAGATCTTATTTTCATCGTATTATTCTAGGGCAGCCCTGCTGGCACTCATAAAGGAGGGTAAAAAAGAAAGGTCCATTCCTTAATGAACAACAAAAGAAAACCTTAGCGGCTCACTATGCAAATCTCCAGCCCAAGCTGGACCCTTTCATTGCACATTCAATAATACCATTTTAATACCCAAACAAGACAAAACTGGCTAAATCTAGAGTCCTAACAGTCATGGAAAGGAGTGGTGAAGTAATTAAAGCTAGAAGGGAGTCATGACTCAAAGGTCATATTAACAGTTTCATGAAAACTTAAATAATCCTGGTGAAGTAAATTAAGCCTCTCTGTACTTCAGTGTAGCTATTTAAAAGAAAATAAAAAAGCAGGATTAATATTACTGAAAGGAGTGTTATAAGCTATTTGTGTATTTTCTACCTGAGAATAAGATGTTCCAGTAAGTAAGCTTGAGAGGAACAGAGTGGGTGTGCACTGTCATGGCCAGTGGGGGGGGAGGGCTGGAATCTCTCCAACAAGAAAAGGCATTATTCTCCAAGACTTCATGAATCCTAGTTAATTGGAGCAGTGTGGTAGGAGGACATGTGGTAAAGACCATCTAAAAAATGACCAAAGTATGAGTTATATATGCAGTCTTATTGCATGACATAACACACAAAATAACACAAATATCACTAATCAACTGTTGCCCAGAGGTTCCTGGATGTCATAATCTGATCACCTTATTAAAAATACTGTTAAACAACTCACTAAAATACAAGCTCCTGTGCATACCACTGCCCTCTCAAATCGGATACCCAGGAGGGTCCCTGGAATCTTTATTGGAAGAAAAAATCCCAGGTGATTTAGATGATCATAAACATTTCGGAATGACCAGATGAGAATGATTTAGAATTAGATTTCCTAATAGTCCTAGGTAAATAGGTGCTTCTAATGGATTCAAAAACAATTTCTTCACTTAACTCTATCATCTGAAATCTTACCCAAAATGTGAAGTGTTTTACTAGTCCCTTTTTTCATAGATAGTACAGACATCCTTCTCACAGACCCTGACATGAGGTTTTTATCTTATAAATTAAATGCAAAAAAAAAAAAATTTAACATTTTCCTTTCTGTGGCTAGGGCATTGTTGAACAAAAAATAGCATATTATTTACTTTTTCTTTGTTAGAATCAAAGGAACACATATAGATTCTGTTTTATTAAAACTTTTATTTTTAAGTTAATGAGAAAAGTTATAGGTCTAGCAAGAGTATGTCCAAGATTATCTAGGACAGTCCCAGTTTCAATATTCTGACCCACTGTGTCATAATACACTAATATTGGATCATATGTCAAAATTATAGGTTAAAAGCAAATAGTTGTTCTAGTTACAGGTTTCTGAAAAACAATTTGGTTTCCAGAAAAAGTGTAACCGTATCATTACAAAGTCTCCAACTTAGAAGATAGGAGAATTTTAAGCAGGTTTGTTTTGTTTTGTTTTTTAATTTGGACAATGCTACAGAATTCTGGCATAGGTAGCAGGCCGCTGAAAATTCTGAAAATTGTATTAACATCTCAGATTGACCATTTTACTATATCTTCGATTCCTGTAGTGACATTCATTTTCTGTCTCTTGAATATGCTCAATAAGAAAACATTTCTATTTGAAAAAGATCTGAGGAAAACTGGGTTATGTTTGTTTGTTTGTTTGTTTGTTTTAAAGATTTTATTTATTTATTCATGAGAGACAGAGAGAGAGAGAGAGAGGCAGAGGGAGAAGCAGGCTCCCAAGGAGCAGGGAGCCTGATGTGGGACTCGATCCCAGGACCCTGGGATCATGACCTGAGCCGAAGGCAGACGCTTAACCATCTGAGCCACCCAGGCGCCCATGTTTGTTTGTTTTTTAATTAACAAAGGGGCTATACTGAATGGTAGGCCAACTGTCCACTGGGTTCCTTTTAATCTGGGGTTTACTTTCATCCTCCTAGTCCCTGAGTACATAATACTTCAATGTCCACTTCCTGATATTAATTGATATTTACTGTTGTGACAATACATGGCCAGCAATCTTGACTGTGGGAAAGGCCCCCTTAGAAATATCAGTATCAGTTTGGGCTGTGTAGTCTTTTTCTGAAATGTAATCTAGGCTTCCTCCCAGATGCTCTCAGCCAAGAGGAACATACAGCCCCCTCATTACCACAATCAGGGCCCTTCTATTCCCAAAACAACTAGGCATACGTGCCTTCAAGTACTTTCACTCTTTTGAAATCCTGCCCCCCATCAGTTTCATAAGTGCATTTGATGGTCAGTTCTGATTGACCACACCTGGAACTGTTCTTCTGGAACATGAGAAGAAACTAAAACTTCAGGTGGTGGGAAAAATCCTATGTCTTTTCTATTCCTAGTCTGCAGTGTTGAAAATTCCTATTTGCATATTAAAACTCAATACCACCTTGCTTTAAAAATAATCTCATTTGGAATCTCATTTAATCTAATGAATGACTCCTTTATCTGCAGATTTTTCAAAGGATAGTTCTGTTCCCTGTTCTCTGCAAGGAGAAAATGAATGTCTTATTACATTCCTAATAACTACAGATAATGAAGGGAAAAGCATCATTCACAGCATCAGTGAGAAAGGTGGGTGGCATGCCTTCCATTGTCAATGGTAAGTGATACTACATGGGAGAGGAGGAAACAACCAGAAAGATACTTGGGGTAGCTAGCTTTCCAGGAAAGACATTTCCAGAGTTTTGATAGAGTGCTTCTACATTCCCAGTGATTGAAATATACCTGTTGAAAGGTTTGATGTGTTCCAATGTCTCTTCCTTAACCCGCATAACAAGATATATTTGTACCAAACATTATCACCTCAAAAGCTGGCTGATGGTTTATACAAAGATGGACTGATTAAATCCAATATAAGCAGAAGGTATATCTTTAGGAAAGGCTAGCAGTGGGGAGCATAACAGTCTAAAAGAATGAGATTTGCATCAAGCAAACCTTGGCTCAAATCCTGCTTCTGCCACTTAATAGCTGCTTGACATTCTGGAAGATACTTGCCTCTGAGTCTCTATTTCCTCATCTGTAAAATGGGAAAAATAATAGTACCTTCTTCTAAGGGTTGACCCAGGGATTAAATAGAATAATGCATATAAAACATGTGCCAGTTCATAACCTACAGTAATGGGTCATTGAGTCAAAAAAGACATGAAGCAGCAGGTGAGGAAGGAAGTGATCTATACATACAAAGAGTCCATTGCTTCTGTGGGTTTTCATCCATACCAACTCATGGAGTTTGCTTGGGACTTGGGAAGCTCTCAAATAAAAATCTCATCTTTAGCGAAGGAGGGAGAGAAATTTATATTAGGTAGGAAAGAAAATAGTGGAAAAGGTACTTTTGTTGAGAAGTTTTAAATTTTAGTATCAGACTCACCTGGGGAGCTTGTTAAAATGCCTGCATCCTGTGCATCTTTTTTTTTTTTTAAGATTTTATTTATTTGACAGAGAGAGACACAGCGAGAGAGGGAACACAAGCAGGGGGAGTGGGAGAGGGAGAAGCAGGCTTCCCGCCGAGCAGGGAGCCCGATGCGGGACTTGATGCAGAGCTCGATCCCAGGACCCTGGGACCATGACCCGAGCCGAAGGCAGGCACTTAACGACTGAGCCACCCAGGTGCCCCCTGCATCCTGTGCATCCTGTGCATCCTGAGTCAGCAGGTGTGATGTGTGACCCAGGACTCTGCATTTTTTTTGAGGGAGAGAGAGAGAGAGAGAGAGCAAGCCCAAGTGGGGCAAGGAGGGAGGAGCAGAGGGAGAGGGAGAAGCAGACTCCCTGCTGAGCAGGAAGCCTGCTGGATCCCAGGACCCCGAGATCAGGACCTGAGCCGAAGGCAGACACTTAACTGAGCCACCCAGGCGCCCCAAGGACTCTGCATTTTACTACCACTCTGCAACAGATAGCTTCAAGACCTCCCTGGCTGTGTTCTTAGATATTCACAGGTGCCTCTTTTCTGTCTTCAATTAATGATGTGTTCCTAAATCTTTCTGGCAGAAATGACAGCTGCATTAAATCAGATCTCTCCAGACGCTGTCAGCAACCTCCTCCTCCTCCCGCAAAAAGCTTGGAGCCTGGTTCTGCCCCAGACAATAGCAGCAAGGGCAGGCTAGCAGGGAGATGTGTTTTGTTGTGTGTGCTTGCTTATCAGTGTGCCAACAAAATATTAAGTTCTGAATTTAAAGCCAAGAATATCAAACTGCCATCACTAGAGAGTGTAAAAACCAAAGCAATACCAAAGTAACCAAAAAGTAAGTGCACGACATTATAAACCAACCAAGAAAATATTATTAGAAAAATACCACATATTTTAATATTGATTCCATTGGAAAAATGAGTTCCAAACAACAAAAATGAACTTCCAGAACTGTTCTTAATTCAGGGGCTTTTGCATCTGGTTGGTTTTACTTTTTTTATATTTATTTTTTATTTTTATTTTTGTGTGTGCGTGAGAGAGAGAAACATGCTTTTAGCTGATAAGGGCATCCTTGTTACTGAACTATTGGTTGTTTTTTGTTTGTATGTTTTGATGCTTCCACACAATCTGAGTGGCACATAAACAGGCCATCCTTCGAAAGCACTCAGACTCCCTGATGACTTTTTATTAGGGCTTTTTATTCTCCCTGTGCTTTTGTAGTAGGGAAAAGTGAGGGGAAAATTACCTTCCTGAGGAGTCAGCTGACAGCTACAAGGATGCTTCTCCCTGGCAAATACTCCTGTTCCTAGGTAGGCCCCAAGCTTCAAGGGGCCCTGAAGATAGAGCCTGTCCTGGAATCTGTAGGCCCTTCAGAGCGCTAAGACCAGAGAATCCCAGGGCAGCCCTTCAGACGCCAGGATAGGAAGGAGGAAGTGAAGGCTAAGGATTTCCACGGTCCTACCAACCAATTTCAAAAGAAACCAAGTGAACAGTCACCATCAGGGTGTGTGTGGTTGCAGGGAGAGCTTTGCTCGTCTTTTTTCTTACACCTGGAACAGTTTTCAGAGGAGAAGAGCCACATTAGTTAGAGCCAGAGTCAAGGAATGACAGTCGGGAGGTTTCCTGGCAGGGAGGTAGGTGTGGATATTATACCACAGGTCCCAAAGTGGAGGTGCCAGGCCCTTGAAGTCTTGAGGATAGAAAAGGAGGAAGAGTATAGTTGTTGTAATAATAATAATAGTAGTCGTAGTAGTAGCTCCCATTTATTGAGCCCTTACTAATGCCATATGCCAGGTATCATTCTATATGTTTGACATGCATTAATTCTTTTAGCACCCTCCATATAACAACCCCGTAGAGCCAGTATTGCTATTATTTCCATTTTACAGATAAGGAAATCGAGGCAAAAAGAAGTTACAAACTGTGTTAGTTGTGGCAGTAATTAAGGACCACTGCGGGCCGGGGAAACCCGGCCGGAGGGCTTGCAGCTTGTGCCTTTAACCACTGCACTACACTGCCTCCCACTGGCTTTGGGATCATAATAAATACCTGGCTCCTGGAAGCATGTTCGGTCAGCGGCAGCAGACATGTTATTACGCAAACCGCATATGTCATTTTCGATTTTCTAGTAACCCCACTAAAAAGTAAAAATCTGGTGACATGGATTTTAGTAATGTTTTATTCAATCCCTTCTATCCAAAATATTGTTATTTAGCATGTGATCAATAGAGAAATTATTGAGATGCTTCGTTTTTTTCCATACTAAGTCTTCACAGTCAATATGTATTTTATACTTGCCACACAACCTAATTCGGAAAAGCCACATTTCTGCGCTCCATAGCCGCCCGTGACAGAGGTGGCAAACTGGCAGCTCGGGCCCTCAGGACCTGAGCACTAGCTGGCACTGGCCAGGACTCGACAGGCAACATGACAGTGGCCCTCTTCTCCCACCTAGAAATATGTCTTCGGTCTGAGCATCTCAGGAAATACTAAAGAGAGTATAAACAGCGGGCGTTTCTATTGAGTAATACCCGCTCTGGTACTTGGGCCACAATCTTTTCTTGAGAACTGTAGACTATCTTAACGTATAATGTATTCTCAATGTACAAATGTATAATGACTCTAAGTTCCAAAAAAATTATCTCTGCCGCGCCATGCCTGCCTGTTCCTCCTTTATTTATTCTCTATGGGAGAGCCCTCCTAATTCACATTCTGGCTGCAGGGTCTTAGCGGGCTTCATTTTGCTTTCCGCAAGAACATGCTATGCCCCACCCCAGACATTTTGTAGTCAAGGATGTAGCCAGTATATATTCTCACTGACACACGCCTGCTGCTTTTTTGCAGGACTGTTGCTAACCTCTTAGAAGCAGCCATGGTTCATTTGTTATGCTGGAAACAGTCTTTAGATCTTCATACTACAGTAACTACTTCATTAGCTCCTTTACTTATTTCTGCATAATCTCCTTACATGGCTTTTTTAATCCAAAGAACAAAAGTGTGTGAGGCCAGCCATCATGCTGTTATGGGGTCATTAGTCCTGCTCAAATTCAGATCAGTTATAGATCCTCACCTTGAAAGCAGCGTGACTAGTCCTGTGTATATAACTCTCCTTATTAAATATCTAAAAGCAATAAGAGTTAGGATAAACTAACCATGATTCATTTCCTCCCCAGATACCACAGATTTGCCTCACTTCTTGCATAAGGAGGCAGATATTTAATGATAATTTTTATGTGGGATTTTTTTTCTCATGAAAGAAAGGGGAGAGCTTAATTATAATGTTTCATTAAGAAATGTATCATCTCCCAGGCATATTGCAAGATTTATTAGTCATTCTGCTGTCAGTGAGGGAAGGCACTGTATAATTGTGAAATTATATTAATATCATCAATAGAGTCAAAATAACATTTCATAGAATGCTCAAGTTGAAAGGACTATACAGAACATCTAGTTTCCCAAACTTCCCTGAAGATAAGAATCCCTTGGGATACTGTTAATAATAAAAAAATCTGTGGCTCCATCTAAGACCCACTGAAGCAGAATCTCTGGGGAAGGATCTAGGAAGCTGTGAGTTTAATAAGCATGAGCACCTGAGCTCAGTCTTATCCTCAGGGAAGTTAAGGGAATGCTGAAGTCCCACATCTTTGTTTGATGGTTGAGGATCCTGGGGCTCAGAGAGATCATGGGACCTATTGTATATCAGACAGCTACTATGTATCAGATGGGAATTGAACCCACCGCTCCTGACCCCAGTCCAGGAACTTTCCAGGACACCAGAGCACTGCATTAATGTTAAAATAAAACTAAAAGCCATCATTGTCTTCTGTCTATATATATAAAAAAAAAAAAAAAGCAGCAAGTAGTAAACTTCTTGGGATGGTAGGTTTTATATAAGTTTGAATATAATCTCCTAGACAGTTCATGTTTCAAGGAAATCCATTAAAAAGTAATATCGTGTGTGTGAATGAGCACACATACACACATTTCATTTCTATTCTATCATGTACCCAGAAGAGACCATTTTTCGTCATTAAACTGCAGTCTTTTTCATGGTCCTTTCTATATTCCATGTGTATTAATCCTCATTCCTGGATTCTAACTCTTTTTGAGTCAGCCATTCAAGTATATATCCATTTGCCTTAAATAACCAAACTCTAACTTTTGTTCTCCTTTGTAGGAATAGGGCTATCCTTCAACAAGTAACTCATTTTTTTTAATGCAGCAAAATAAAACATGTTACTATTTTCCTTCTACTGGAAAAAAAATAAGGTTGGAAAATTTAATGAGAAATATTTTCTCTACATCACAAGATTAATTATGCCATCTTATTTTTTTTTTAAGTTAAGTTTTTAAGGCTCCATGCTGGGAGCCCCAGGGCTTGAACTCACGACCCTGAGATCAAGACCTGAGCTAAGACCCAGAGCCAGACACTCAACCAACTGAGCCATCCAGACACCCCAATTATACCATCTTCTTAATATAATTTTCTTTCTTTTAATATAACAGACTGTCCAAAGCCCCCAAACATTCCCATGATTATGTTGGGGGTTTCACTGGCTATTCTTCTCATTGGGCTCGTCCTACTGTGCATTTGGAAGCTGCTGGTGTCATTTCATGATCGTAAAGAAGTTGCCAAATTTGAAGCAGAACGGTCGAAGGCCAAGTGGCAAACGGTATGTAAACCCTTAGGGGCTATTCCTTGTCCAGGGGAGAAAGTGACTTGTGGAAGAGATAGATGTCAGCTTTCTTCTGCTCTATAATAGAGAATGAGAATGTCATGTTCTTTCCCTACCCCTCTCACTATGTCCCTAACAGCTATGATTTATTTTCTGCTTTGAGGACAAAGGAACCTCTGTCCATCATCTGGGACCTAGATAGTGCGCAGAGCATGCATTTGTCTCTCAGTGTAGTGGGGATTTGTCCCACTCTGAAGAGTCTCATGAAACTCCTTATATAGCTGCCTAGGGACATCAAGGAAATACATTTAATCTTCATCACCAGGAGGATCATTCAGGCCCCATTTGATAAAGCATAGCTGCTGTATCTAAACACAACCATAAATCGGTTGTATTATAGCCAATGGAATAAGGTTCATGAGTTAGTATGGCAGTTCGTGCCAATTTTCATAGAAATACTCATTACTTATAATAGATTACAATGCCAAGTCGAGAAGACTTTAAATGCCATCTAGTTAGTTCTTCTGAATAACAAATTTTAAACAGCTACCTGAAAAATACCTAAAAAGTGTCAACCTTTAAATATGTGTACTCAATAGATATAATTTATGTGTCTCCTCTTCACAGTAGACAAACACAAAACAGGACTCCAATTTTCTGTGTTTCTTTTCCACAGGACAGATAATTACATTTCTAGAGGGCCATAGAAACAATTTCATGGTTTTAATTTAATCTTTCTATTTCTAATAGTGTGCCCAGCTCTCTAATAGCAATTATCTTACATTGCTGATTCTAAAAAGGGTGATTTCACTGGAGAAAATACAGAAAAACACCATGTTCCTTTGGGTTCATCTGCCCAAATAAATTGATGTTAACACTTTTTTTCTCTAAGTATATAGTGATATCTCCAATTCTTAAAGCAAATGGAATTTCTGTTTTGGATAAGTTTATCTTGATGAGGAATGTCTATACCTTGTGCAGTTATTTTGAAGTAACCCTAACATATGGTGCAGGACAATGGACAATGAAAATTTTCATCTACCTCATCTTCCTTTTAAAAATGCCTTTAGACGTTGGGGCGCCTGGGTGGCTCAGTCGTTAAGCGTCTGCCTTCAGCTCAGGTCGTGATCCCAGAGTCCTGGGATCGAGCCCCACATCGGGCTGCCTGATCGGCGGGAAGCCTCCTTCTCCCTCTCCTACTCCCCCTGCTTGTGTTCCCTCTCTCACTATGTCTCTCTCTGTCAAATAAATAAATAAAATCTTTTAAAAAAAAATGCCTTTAGACGCAACAAGGAAATTCAATGCATGGATCTTGTTTTGATTCTGATTTGAACAGTCCAACTGTAAAAATACGTTTCTTGGACAACTGGAAGAAGGATAATATAGACTGGATATTAGAATGATAGCAAGGAATTATGATTAATTTGATTAGGTAAGATAATGGCATGATGACTTTGCTAGAAAAAATCCATATTTTGGAGTGAAAGGAAGTGAAGATTAGGTTTGCTCTGAAAAAATTCAGCCAAAAGAGAGGAGGATAGTGAAGCGAGTGTGGCAAAATCTTGATAATTGTTGAATCTGGGTGATGGGTCTTACAGAGGTTTGTTATACAGCTTTCCTCTTATGTATGTATGAATTTTTCATAATTAAATAAAACCCCTTAGGAAAGTAAATTTGGATTTGCAATGAAGATATAATATACCCATACCTAACAAGGTCAAATGTAACCTGATAGGTTAGTTTGGTGACTTAGAACATAGTATTATGAGGCTAAAGTGTTGGGTCAGTTAACTTCTCCAGATCCCCTGGCCTAGATATTTTTAACTCTCACCAGCTGCCAAGCAAATGCCTGGCAATAGTCAATAAGGACAATCAGGCAAAAGAATATGGTTAAGTTGGCACAAAGAACCACGTGGCAGCAGTTGGTTGAACAATGCCAGTCCTGTGAAGTAGTCTGAATAATCCCATTTTCAGTGTAAGGAAACTGAGGCTCAGAGAGGTTAAGAGACTTCCCAAACAATTGGTCATGGTGGAGCTGAAAACCTAACTGCAGCCTCTTCCAAGCATAGCCTTGACCCTCCTAGAAATAAGCAGGTGTTCTGCAAACAAGTACTTGGGCAATGATATGATGTGTATCTACTAACCAGCACATTTTAATGTTCTCATACAGAAGCATGAATACTGACAAATGATTAATATCTTTAAAGTAACATTTTAATTAACAGTTAAATTCCCCAAAACATGCATTGTTTTCCCTCAGGATGTAGAACATGACTGAAATTCAAATGCCGAATTTTACTGTTTCTTCATCTAAAATGGAACAAAAATACACATTAAACAGATAAAATCATAAATGAAAAATATTATTGCCTTGTTAAATTGAGTTTCCTTGAATAATAAATATTTGATGTTCTTGACTAGATAATAACTGGGTAATAATTATACACTTGGATGCAAAAGAGGTTTAATTCAAATAATTCAATTCAAATTTCACTAATATATACTATTGAAAAAAAATGTTAGTGCATCCATTTTTGGGGTCCTCAATTTGATTCCATTTTTTATCTAAAAACCTATTTCTTCTTGAAGAACTGAATTTGACTGGTCTTCACACCCCAGGGGACCTCCAGAGTTGGTAGGGGTAGTTGGGTCTACTGACCCGTAGATCTCCATTGGACTCCAAAGGTGACAGGGCTCAGGACAAGAAAGAGCTTTGTTTCTTGCCTCTTGAAACATTTCATCATAGCCATAAAGAAAGGTTACCTTTTATTATACTTTTAAAAACAACCTCCCCATCCATATTCTTTATGAAAACACAAAGGAAAAATATTTAAATTCATCTTTGATTAGACATTTTTTTCTAGGATGACAAGTCATTAACTAGAGGCAAAAAATGTTCAGTCTGACATTTCTTACAGTAATGGATTGATTTTGTACTGTGCTAAGCAAATCAGGTCTGCATTTGGCAGTTAGGCAATCATTAAGAGAACTGTGGGTCATGACAGAGAGCTTTCTTATTACCACTTTTTCAAGCTCCAAAAATGTGCCATTGCATTTACAGAATCTACAGCCTAAATTAGCACCCCTGGACTCCTGGGGAAATCAGCCTGGTCACCTCAGATCAGTGGGGGAAACTGAAACTTGTCTAAATAGTGAAAGAGCTCAGACTCATCTGAAATGGAGATCCAAGCCTGTGTCTCAGCTGGAAATCCTCTGTAGAGAAGTTGCCCCCCCACCACATAGCCCTAGAGGAGGCAGAACTAGACATTGCCACACTTTTTCCTGCCAACAAAACCTGCTTTGAGCTTAGTCTCCTGAGTTTTGATCATCAGCTGAGGGCAGGAAGCACAACTGCCTCCCAGCAATATATACTTGCTCTTTCTCCACCCTTAAAGTCCCACCTTACCCTCCTACTATGGTCTGCTTCATCCATCACCCCCTATTAGCATGCCCAGGCCCTACAACTAGCTTTGCAAGAGATGCCCCGAAATATTATAGACCTGAATAAAGTTGCTTCAAAATACAGAATGAAAACTGCACAATCAAAATTAATATTCAACTAAATGTCTACAAAATAACATCATGTCAATTGCAACTTAAGTCACCTCCTTTATAGTGCATATAAATTATACTTAGTGTAGAATGTGGGTGCATTTTAATATGCTTATTTACATATTTATTTGAGAGAGAGAGGGAGACAGCATGAGGAGAGGGGCAGAGGGGGGAGAGAATCCCAAGCGGACTCTGTGCTAAGCACAGAGCCCGACGCGGGGCTATATCTCAGAACCCTGAGATCTTGACCTGAGCTGAAACCAGGAGTTGGACACTCAACTGACTGAGCCACCTAGATGCCCTGCATTTTAATGTTTGACATGATATGGGATGGGGCCCACAAAAGTGTTCCTGGTCCTATGAAGATCTAAGCTGGCCCTGCTCACAGCCCGTTTACTCTTTCAGAGTATTTTTTTCTCTCCGTAAGTCTCCCTCTTCCTTCAGGACAATGCTTCACTTATCATCCCCAGCCTGCACTTATTTTTGCCATTTTTCCTCTTCAATTGAGTCCTTTATTTTTTCTGTAACCAACTTAAATTTAATAGCTTGTAGTCTTTTTTTTTTTGAACTTTATAGAATTCATACATGATTTTTGTTTCCAAATGAGACTCCACCTGCATCTAAGACCACATCAGTTTGCCCTTCACTCTCCAAATTCCAAGTTCTTATGGCAGCAGGACTAAATAAGGACTGGAGGGTCCTCAGAATTATCCAGGTTGACTTCAGGAGTAGAAGCAGTATGGTGACTTGGCCTTCACTCATCACCCACCACCAAGGAGTCTCTTTTCTGTTTGCCCTCATTACTGAGATAGCATCTCTCTCTGAAGGCACATGAACAAAGGTAACATGTTACTCAGGCCACTGGCTCTGGGCAACATAGAACAGGCACAGGTGTGATTCTTCCTCACGGTAAAGACACTGCGGCAAATCCAAGAGTGACAAGTGGGGAGATGCCCAGGTTTTTCAGTTTCATTCAGTTCTTTCAAGAACTGAGAGACATGTACTGGGAAAGCAAATACAATTGTAGTTTTGAAATCTATGTCTAGAACTTGCTGCCATCTCTACAATTCATGAGATAAGGAGACCAATACAAGATTTAGTAATTTGGAAGGTACCTGGTGGTACCTAGACTTCATACACAAGCAGAAGTGGGCTTAGAAATGATGGGTTAGCCTGGTGATGGGTATTAAAGAGGGCACGTTCTGCATGGAGCACTGGGTGTTATACGCAAACAATGAATCATGGGACACTACATCAAAAACTAATGATGTAATGTATGGTGATTAACATAACATAAAAAAAAAGAAAGAAATGTTGAATGTGAAAGCTCCGGGGGAAAGTATCTTTCTAACCCCCTCCAAAACTTAAAGAAAAGGAAATTCCAAATGTGAAGAAGAGGTATAAATAAGAACTAATAAGAAGAGGCAGCATTTACTGAGCACTCAGTATATGCCGGGGTCTGTGCTAAAGAGTATGTTATTTCATGGATGAAGTAGGCACTTTGGTAATGCCTCCTGTGGGTGAGGACACCATGATTTGGAATTGTTTAAGTAGGTCATGTGGTGGGACTGGGTTTGAACCCAGGCTGTCTGACATCAGCGCCTATGTGGTCAACCTTGGAAAGTGGAAGAGAAGAAACTGCTCTTTACCCAGACATCTTGAGCCTGCCTGGAGCAATTCAACCAAAGGAGAGATATTGGAGGATCAAGCTTGTTGTTTCTTTAAACACCTACAGAGACTTGGTCCTGCTTGTCCTGGTGATGGCTCCTAGAAACACATCTACAGCCTGAGGAGCACAGCTGAATTATCCAGACAATGGCACAAATCCTCTACACTGCCCCAAGGGCAAAGCCACCTTGCCCAACCCACCTTGGGACCTGTACATCTTCCTGAGCCCTGTGGCCCAGGGCTCACGTGACTCTGTGCTCCACACACTGCTATTCTCTAGTAAGCGAATGCCACCACATTCTTTTACCATCTAGAGCAGTGTTCACTGTCCTAGGGATCTTTCCTTGCTTCTCCCAAGCAGCTAGGTGTTTCTCCTGAATTTTGATCTCATTTTAGCAAGATTATCGGTGCCCTTGTGTGATGCCTCCCACCAGCAACACATCTCTTAAAGGCAGATACTATGTCATTCATCTTTGTTTGCTTCTACAAGTTCACTTTTCCCGTTTTTTATGTTTTTTACTTTATATTTCATTTTGGGACCACCTATTGGTTCATTCTATTCATTCAGTAAATACTGAGTGCCTGCTGTTGGCTAGGCACTTCTTTCAGCTCTGGTAAAACCGCAGTGAACAAAACAGCCAAAGTCTTGTTTTCTATCCATCAATTAGTGTGTTTCCAAACAGGGTAAGATTTTTATGATACATATAAGGCACTGGTTCTACATACTAAAAAATTAAATGGAGATGTATAAATTTTAAAATGCTAAGAGTATGATTAATCAAAATTATTCAAATGGCTTCCAAGCTTGAGCCTGACTCTCTTCTAGTTTGTTATGGACAATGAAATTATTTAAATATATTAAAACCATGTTATAATAGGTACATACTTTCATTCAAACCTTTTTTTTTTTTTTTAGGGAACCAATCCACTCTACAGAGGCTCCACCAGTACCTTTAAAAATGTAACCTATAAACACAGGGAAAAACAAAAGATGGACCTTTCCACAGATGGATAGAACTACTTCATGCATGGAAAAAGTCTGCTTCACTGATATGAAATGTTAATGCACTATTTAATTTTTCTTTTTTTTGTTGCTTCAAAACGAGGTGGGTTTAAGATAATAATAGGTCATCTGGAGATCAGTCACTGTCTGTATAAGGTTAGAGACTGTGTTGGCAGGTTCAAAATAATCAGGAAGAGAAGTATCTTTAGCAAAGGGGTGACTTTGGGGATCATTGAGGAATACTAACTCTGTTGTATTAATGCCTCAAAAAATCATCAAAATGACACATGGGGGCCTGATTTGCATTTGAAAAATGTTTGAAATTAGAATCTCATTTGTTGCAGGAATATAGCTACCTGAAGTCTTTGTCTCAGCAAAATCACAAAGTCCATATGCTCACATTAAATAATCACACTTGTGAATTAATTCTAAACTTTTAGTAAATCTGCCCTTTCCTAAAGGTGGATTCTTTTAAAAATCTAGAAGAAATGAGATGCTGACTTTTACTTCAACTGAGACTATGCAGTTCTTCTAAAGATGTCCCAAATGCAGTAAGTGTTAATAATTTCTGTGGATTTGCATGTACCTAAAAGTCAGGTACACAAATAAGTATAAGAATAAGAAGTAATTTCTAAATTAGAAAGTTAAAAAAATAAATTAGAAAGTTACCAGTAAAAACAAAATATCTAGTCTATTATTTAGATTATTTTTAATTACCTGAAGAAGAAATTTCTACACTCAGTTTCCCTCCTGACCCTGAGTTTTCAAACCACTACTTCTCCCATTATTTCTCAATCCATTTTACTTAGTTTCATAGTCATCTAAACCCTGGAAATATCATATGAAAGTTTTAATTTCTTGTTAAAAATTACTTTAAATGGTTAGGTAGTTTAATCAAAAAAAGCTCCAATAATGCAAAAGGAACATGGGTTAAACAGAATAACATTTTAAATGGCTTTGAAGCAAACACATCAAGAGTACAGTCTCTCATGAGTAATAGGCTTTCTATCTATATGTTTCCATTTATATAACCTAACTTGCACATTTCGTGTGCAACATGGCGAATATGCATTCGTGTATTTACTTTAAAAAGTAACATTTTACTTGCAAACTACATGTGCATAATTAAGGATCCATAGGTTGATTGAGGAGATGGACTCTGTAGAATATTATCTCCTATTAGTTCGGCTTCACGGAGCACTGTCCTCTTATTTGATAAGGAAGCTAAGCCTCAGAGAGTGAGTAGAAGAACTGGTCCAGCATCTAATCTTCCAGCTCCAAGCTATTTCTTCTCCCCACAGTATGAGACTAAGTCTTTTGTCCATTAAATGATGGAAAGATTTGGTTGGTTAAGTGATAACTATCATTTGTTGGAAAATGTCCCGAGACGAAAATAGCAATTAAACTACTGGAGCAGAGGTGAGGTCTTGTACTTTGGTGCAGTGTTTATTACCTTTGAGTAAATTGTAGTGTGAAACATTTTACTAGCTGAATAGTTCATTATGTAATGGAGGTTTCAAATGTATCCATTGAGTTGGCACAGGTAATCTATGATAAGTTTCTTCAATTCTACCGTATAGATCTGTACACATTTGATCACTTGGAGACTTATTTCTTTTCTTATTTCTAAGTAACTCAGGTAAATCAGACACTTGGGGAATACACAGCTATACTAAAAGAATTACTAAATAATCACATTGGACACCTGAACGGCAGAGGTACCCTCTGTGTTCCTGACTGAAGCCCAGGGTCTGGGGAAAATCTACAGCAACAAGGAAGTTGCGTTGGTGATGACACAACAGTAGTATTCAGCTCTACATGTGATATTTCTTACTATTACTAGAATGGGATTCTAGAAAATATGAATTTCCTTTGTGTATATATTGGGGAAGGTAGAGAAGAATCTGCTATTTCTCTGAATACTGTTTTGACCCAAGGCTGGACCTTGAAAAGGCCAAAACATTAACAGTAGTACTTCTGTTCACTGAAGAGTTATATTACATGAAGATAAATGGGTTTTTTGTAAGTTGTTTTACTGTATTTTGTGTTGACATAAATAAACATGGTAATTTAAACAATGAACCTTAGATGGATGATAATTCCTTTTATTTACTTGGTACCAAACCCTCTTCTTGGATTTCCGGATCCCTGTGTGACCTGCTCTGACCAGCTTGCTGGTCTCATTCTGGGGCCAAGAAGAACAGAAAGAGGCAGCCACCAAAGGCAGGAGACAGCAGGGAACCAGCTGCAGTTTGCTGAATGGTTACAATACCCACATCATGAGGTTTTTTTAAAAGACGCTCGGACATTACCCTACATTTTGTAAAATCAGGATTAGTGTTATGGGCTGAATCGTGGTCCCTATTCTAAAACTTGTGTACTGAAGGCCTAACCCCCAGTACCTCAGAATATGATTGCATTAGGAGATAAGGTCTTTTAAAAGGTAATTAAGTTAAAATGAGGTCATTAGGTTGGGTCCTCATCCAATATGATTGGCGTCTTTTTTTTTTTTTTTAAGATTTTATTTGTATTTGAGACAGAGAGAGAGAGAGTACAAGCAGAGGGAGCAGCAGGCAGAGGGAGAAGCAGGCTCCCTGCTGAGCAGAGATTCCCGATGTGGGGCTCAATCCCAAGACCCTGTGGTCATGACGTGAGCCGAAGGCAGATGCTTAACGACTGAGCCACCCAGGTGTCCCAGTGATTGGTGTCTTTATAAGAAGAGGAGATTAGGACACAGATGTGCGCAAAGGGACAACCATGTGATGACACAGGGAGAGGAAGCCCATCTACAAACCAAAGAGAAAGACCTTGGAAGCAACCAACCCTGCCAACACCTTCCTCTGGGCCTTCTGGCCTCCAGAATTGTGAGAAAATACATTTCTGTTGTTTGAGGCCTCCACTCTGTGATACTTTTGTTATGGCAGCCCTAGCAAACCAATATAGTTAGGGAGTGCTACTTTTCTGGGCATCCATTTGGTAGATTTCATGGTGCTATGCTCATTTTCCCAAAATGAAGCAGAGAGAAACCAGTGCTTACAAAAGGAGCCAACTTAGAAGTCCTTTTCTTAGAAAGGCTCTTTCCTTACAAAAGGGCAGGGAAAGTCAAGTCGAAAGTAGTTATACTCTGAAACAAACTGTTGTAGACAAAAGCTGGATATCTGGAAATCCAGAAACTGTTCCCATTTTGAATAGCACTGAGAAAAAAATCACTTTTTGCCTTAGGTTTTCATTTACAACATGCTGGCACTGCTTGTCTCTTCCAGCACCTATAACATAGTAGATGCCCACTAAATTCATTCAGTCAGTATTATTGAGTGCCTAGTAAATGCCAGACATTGTTCTTATGATTATGGATACAGAAATGAACAAAATAAGCAGTTCCTGTGCTCTGTAGTGGGGAGAAGACAGGAAACAAAAGAATATACAATATCAGGGTATGCATATCCCAGATCCACTTGTCCCCACCTGTCCCCCAGGTCTAAGCTGGTAGTCACTCCAGCACCAACTCACAGTTCCCTTAATAGTAAAGCCCATCTTCAACCTAAATCCCCAACTTCCAGTCACAGCAACTCCTGTGCCCAAGTCCAGAGTGCCTGTTGGATCTAGGTAATAAAATAGAAGTTTTAAAAGAAGACTGCAAGGCTAAGTTGCTCTGAACAGTAAGGCACTGAGCCCGGGAAAGGAGAGGAAAGAAACAAAAAGTTTACTCGGCTGGGCTTGGGGGAAAGCCAGGAAAGACTGGAAAGTTGGGAAGTGGGAAGAAAAAGCCTTTGGGGTAGCCTCTATGTATGGGTGATGTTGAGAATGAGAAATATGGGGCTGGGGGTGATCTGCTGTTCATTTGTACTCATTCTTGTGAGCCTGCTGTTCCCCTGAGTAAGGCAGCCTGTGGAGTTTCCCAGTGGGAAGACCCAGCTCCGTGGGTGTTTCAGCTGAGAATCCACAATGTTTTAATCTGGTTCAGGTTTCCCCTTTAAGACTCTTCAACACCAGAAACCATCATGCCCTGAAACACCCTGTTAAACCCCACGAATGGCAAAGGGCAGCCTCCAAAGCAACCCAGGGTCTTCCGATTTGCTCTCTCTTCACCTCTCCACACACAGTCCTTTAGGTACTTCCAGTACTAGAGAAGCTATCCCACCAATACATTCTTTTTTTTTTTTTTAATTTTATTATGTTATGTTAATCACCATACATCATTAGTTTTTGATGTAGTGTTCCATGATTCATTGTTTGCGTATAACACCCAGTG